CACTGGCAGTACATCATATCTTGATCCAATGCTTTATGCGCCTGGGTCCTCGTGACATAAGACCAATCAATGCCCTTTCAAATGTATTTTAGACATCAGAGCTTGGAGGTAGTAAAATTCTCAGATAAAGCAGAACAGCAGCAAAATTTTATTTACAGGTTCACAACAGACTAGAGAGCACAATTTACACAGTCGATGTCCTTTGTTACTTGGTTGGCTGCCAATTGATTTTAAAGTTCTTTCACTTATTTTTAAACCCTGAGACGATCTAGTCTTTCACCATCTTTCATTACCTTGTCTGACATGTTTCAAATCAACTTTGCAGTCATTCACAAGTGTAGAACAAGAAGCTGAGGTAGCTTTTACCCTCTGAGAGGTACAAGCTGTCTACAAGCTGCAAGTGCTGATATCATTCAAATTAAAATGTATTTTTGTTTTATTTATTTATTTATTTTACCATCGTCTTTGATAATGACTGATTGTTGTTAGTTTAGTTCATGTCGTTCCTTTTTTACTTTACATATTTTAGTCTTGTGGGGGTTCTCTTGCAGTTAGTTGCAGCCCTTGTTTGTACTATAATGGACCTTTGGGAAGCTGTACACTTCTGTTCGAAACAAGTAGCTTCAGCTCATTTTTCTTTATGACACCTCTCCTTTTAGTTCAGCTTTCTTCTGATTGGCTGCTTCTTGAAAACAAAAGACTTAAACGCTAGGAAACTGGGCTGCTGTGTGCCAAGAGTAGCAAAAAAACAAACCCATTTTGGCTCAAAGGCATTACTTGTACATGTGCTGACTCATTATTTAAAACTCTTAAAGCTAATTATCACACTATGTCAGTAAAAGAAAATATAGAAAAATCCATAAACTTTGACCAGTTGATCGAGTTAAAAGTCATTTAATGACTGTTTGACTGAGATTGTTACTTCAGAGGAGCATATATTCAGGAATGCAGTGCTCTTGAATTTGACAGGATCTTTCCTTTTATTTAGGTCCAAAAAATCTTAAGAGATCTTCTATTGTAATGTAGGCTAGACACATTTGTATAACAACTCTCATCAAAACAGTCTCTTAGCCTCTTTCTGTCATCCAGTTACAAGGAATCGTGATTTTTGACCGTGCTTTAAAATTTAATAAACAGATTAGCTCTGTAGTTAAGACAAACTTCTAAGGCTTCTCACTAAGGTCAGAGCCTTCCTCCTACCACATGACTTTGAGAGTAATACACACTTTTATTTCCTCTCGTTTAGACTATTGCATCTCTTTATATGTTGGCTGTGATCTAATATGACACCTGCAAGCTCTTCAAAATGCTTCAGAATTCTTTGTTCACAGTTTTGCTTTTTGTTAGGTTCAGATTTTTTTCAGTAGTTCTATAGTATTCTTTGCCCTCTGTTCAGTTTGAGCATTATCCTGTATGTAAATTTGATGTTTCAGCATTTCCTTATTTGGTATCAGCGTGGCCGTGGCTCAGAAGGTAGAGTCACTAATCAGAAGGTTAGTGGTTCTATGCCAGTCTGTTCCAGTCTGTACCTACCACAGGTGTTGCTCAAGTATCCTCGAGCACTGAATGCCTAGTTTCTCATCACAGTGGTAATGTTAGATAGAAAGCACTTGGGAATGGAAGAAAGTATTTGTATGAGTGAAAATGGCTTTTAGTATGAATCACTTTGGGTGCTCAAGCAGAGAAGAAATGTGATATAAAAGAAGCAATCAGTATTATCAATCATTTCTTTTTGAATTTTATGTGTTTTGCTTCCTGTCCCATTGTTTAGATCAGCCATCCCCAAAGTCAAGAGTGCTGTGGGCCACTCAAGAACCAGAAAGTCCCAAGCGGCCCACCCAGGCTTAAATCTTCACTCTAATTAAAAGACAAGTGAAACTGATGTTTTGCCTTTTTTATTCAAAAAACATAAACAACACAGGCTGTTGGCCATAAATTGCTAATGCTACCCAGGCCACTATGTGACCCGTCTGTTACTACACACAAACCTCAATATAACAGCGGCAAATTTAGAATCGGAGTAATGAGTAATATCACAAATTTTAACAGTTTACGGACTCCTCATAGTAGATTTCATATCAATCTTAAAAAGATGTGCTTTTTCTGTCCTCCTGCTTGCTTTTTTTTTTAGTTTTATATCTGGATTTAATTCCACGCACATTTTAACAAGTAGAAACAGAGACCTGTCTTTTTTGTGATAAAGAGTGAACCTTGCTGTTTTGGAGCATGTTTTTAAAGTTAGTTTTCTTCCAGTATTTGTCTCTTAATTCTGAACAATCTGTCTGTACCTACCACAGAGAAAAGCCCCCATAACACATGTTGCCAGTATGCTGTGCTTGACGCGCATAGTTCTTTGTTTGTGTGTCTGTGTTTTGAGTCCTTGAAATAATGTTTGGCAGACTTTGAGTGGGTTTTATATACTTTTTCTTGTCAACCTTCTGTCTGCCCATTAATTGATAAGTGCAGCTGAGTTGGTCGCCCATACAACAGGTTCTCCCTACAGAGATCTTCAATAACTGCTGGGTTCATAGCAAAGACTCAACACAAAAGATGGATTTAGAAATTCTGTTTAAAAATAAAGCCAATGGAGAAGTTTCATAAAACTGCAGTCTTTCTAATGGCAAAGAGTGGATGAGTCCTCTCCCAAAATCAGTTGGATTGTATAAAAGTCTGAGGGTAAAACAAATAAATGCACCTCTTGACCATGTTCGTGCCTTTCCAATCATTTTGAAGGCAAATGCCTCAAGATAATGTCAGTTTTACTGGATTAAAGGTTTATCACAGGAGTGTTCATTTAGCATTTGGTCACTAATGTTAAAAAAACAAACAAAAAATGTTGATCACAAAAATATGAAGCTTACATAAAGTTCTATTCCTATAATTTTTCCAAAATACTGTCCAATGGTCTGGTAACTCATCTAGAAGTGTACCTATAAAATATTATTTCCTAGATCTGATACCAGGCTTCAGGAAATTGTACAAATAAACTTTACAATGTGTATTAATGATTAATTTAATCAGTCAAATGTATTTAAAGGTGAAGCGTTTGACTTGATTTCTAAAGGATTGTACTGCTCGACGAGGAGGAAAAACAGACTAAAGTGACTGAGCTGGAGCATTGGAGTGGTTTTCCTTTTTTATTCAGTGCAGATGTGACAGTTGCCTTACATCAGCAGGTCTTGGGTTTGAATCTAGCTTGGACGTTGCTGTGTTGAGTTTGCATGTTGTCCCTGTGCCTGCATGTGCTCTGTCTTCGGCTTCTTCCCACTCTCCAAAGATATGCTTGTTACGCTAATTTGTGATTTTTCTAAATTGACCATAGATGTGTATGTGAGAGCATTTCTGTCTTAAGTCCAATTACGGCTCCCATGACTCTGAATTAGATAAATAATGGAGTAAATGGACTGATGTCTGGATACTCGTATCTATGCATAAAGCTCTCAATTTTCAGTGGCCAAAAGATTGTGATGTCAATTCAGAACAATGTGAGGGCTTGATGATCAGGATGAGTGCACCAAGTGCCCTCTGAATGCCAGGTAAAGAAGCTTGTAGCTGTGAAAGAAATCACTTGCTGTCTCTCATGTCTCCATTCAGAGTGAAGAAGTGAAGAGGATAGATAGTAACAGCATTTAAATCAACTCAGGATGTAGAGTGGGACTGCAGTCCTTCCATTTTTTTTCAAGTCATGGAGATTTTTATAAGGGATCATCAGTGTGACAGAATGAACCAACATTTTAGTCATGGCTCATACAGATCTGCTGAAATTTGAAGAGACAAAAAAAAAAGTGAGACAAAAGGCAGGTTCAAATATAACACATAGTAAAACAAGAGACCACTGGGAAGCCTAAAATCATCAGTTTTGTGGATTGTCAAGAAAAGAAAAGGTGACAGAGGTCATTGGAGATATGCCCAGACTGGTTGGAGCTGACAGAAAGGTAAGTCCACTTTACATAAGTGCTGAACAGAAAAGGTTCTCCACATGCAAAATCCATCCAGTCTTGTGAAGAATGGGCTTAAAAAACAAAAGACCATGTCAGCCACAAAAAGAAGCCTGAGTCTGCAGTGGGCAGAGGCTAAATAAAAATGGACTTTTAAAGACTGCTGCAGATAGTAGGCTTGACAACACAGACAACAGCATCAATCCATGGACCCGCCCGGGGTCAACAATCCAGGCCGCTGATTGTGATGTGGAGAATTTATTTTTTTTTTCTGCACACTTTGACGTCCCTTAATTGCAATTAATCATGGTTTGAAGGGCACAGTCTCAGTGTTGTTGTAACCATGTGCATCCTATTATGACCACAGTTTACCAGCTCATAATGGCTGCTTCCAGCTGGGTAACACACCATGTCACACAAGTCAGCACTTCAGTTTTAAAATATTAAATGTTCGATACAATTTTGCATTATTTAAGGTGACTTTTATAATGATATCAATTTTAATAGCAGGAAATAAACTAGATGGATAATTATTTTATTTTTCTCTTTTTTTCCACATTTTTCAAGTAACCTGTATTTGACAGCAGCATAATAAAACTGGAAATTCCATTTTTATTAAACCACCATAATATTTGTAGGGGCCCCCATATCTACACGCCTATAAACAAAATTCTGGACCTTCTGTGACCTTGGTCTCTTTAGCACTTTTACAGAAGAGTTTTGGTATCGTAGCGCTATCGTGCTTTACTTTCATGTTAAAATGATTAAACGATAGATTTAATTTGATGTAAAACGCTTTCACACGGCATTTCCAGACCAGGAAAGCCGTAAGAAGGAGATTGGTCATGATTGCCACATCTTAAAGGTACGTTAATGCATTGTTTCCAATTCACCTAGCCCACCACTGTGCTTATGGTCGCAAGATGACAAGAGACATGCATCTGGCACGTGCTTGGCGCACTTGATTGTCACCTGTGCCATGAGGGCAGAGCCCTCAGCTTTGAATTGCCTTTATATGTGGTCAACAGCTGCCTGCTTCCTGAATGCATACTGCAACTTAATTAGGTAAATCTTTCCAAATGTATCATTTAGGTAATGTAGTTGATCATTAACATAGATTAGTTAAAGATATCGGGGATCGGATTATACGAATGTACTGTGTACTATGACGACAGGGTGGGGGAGATAGAGAGGGAGTGTGAGTGCGGTGCGGCTTCTGGATCACACTGTTTGACGGTGATGAGAAGTTGCGGCAGTGGGAAATGGACAGAATGAAACCGGGTTTTAATCACCGCGCATCTGGCTCTCCGAGTGCGCGCAGTTTACGTCTGACATGAGTTCGGACTGCGAGAGTTACTACACCGAAGAAAACGTGCTCGTGGAGAACTTCACGTGTCCGAAAGCGGACGGTGACACCACGGCACTCTACTGCTGCGGGTTCAGTGACTTGAAGTACTGCTGCGCTGACCCCAACAGCTTTTTCCCTTACGAATATGGATACATGTGGTGGCTGAGGTAAGAGCATGTAAACTCTTAAATCACTGATGAGTGTTTCATAGAATTTTCCGATTTATAGATGGTACATGACATTGATGTAAATCAACATGTATCAGGCAATCTCCAGAGCGCAGTGAGAGCAGGAAGCATGCGATGCCAGTTTTCTGGCTTCTCTTGGATTAAACAGAACCGCAGAGGGAAATATAAGGTAAACGCGTGCATGGGTTGTAAAGCGCAGAATCATTTAGTGTTCCTATTAGTGCTTTGTATTTAAGAGCCAACTTGCTGATGACATTTTGCGTCTCGTGTCTGTTTAACTCCAATCATGGTAATTGGCTGTTATAATGAGAGACTATAGACTAGAGGGAGTTTTGAGACAGAGAACACGGGTAACCTTTAGAACAATTTAATAGCGCAGAGACGAATTTCAATGAATCTGAAGTTTTAACTGCAATACGGTGCAGAGGAAATTATGAAGGTGTACCACAAACAAGCAAGCAAATGATGGAAGATAAATTAATGACTTGTGCGCTGCTCTCACGCATGCACGCGCATACTGTAATCAATCATTTAAAGTAAATGAATTGAAACTGAAATCAGAAACACGGAAATAAAAATATAAGAAAAAAAAGTGTAAATGTTCAAATCTGATGTAACTTCTGAAACAGTAAATTAGAACTGTTGAGTTTGTTTGTTTGTTTTGTTTTTTGTGCTCAGGGGCCCCTCTATGCTTGATGTTCAAGAGATATGGTTAAACCAAAATTTGCCCCCAGGGTTATTATACATAATTGGATCATTTCTGCAACTTGTGTTGTGACTCATAAGCCACAACTTAAAATGGATGCTGACCCCGGAGGAAAACAGGGGCTTTGTGTCAACTGCAACCAAGAGAGCATGACTGGCATGGCATGGTGGCCATATTAAGTTGCCATAGGCAATTCAAGTTGTGGACAATTGTCAATTAAGCCCAAGCACCTAGACACTCTTGCAATGCCAGTAGGGATGTAGAGGGGCCATATTGTCATGTTTCAGTTTTCCTATTTTGGGTATTTAAGATTTGTGATTATGTTCTTATTTTGTTCTCAAAATTAATGTAACATATTTCATAGCCCATTATTTTTCTATTTCCTTTTTTAAAATATTTGACAGTAAAATATTACATTATCCTCCATTGTTCAACAGTGGGGAGATTCACATACCTAAACCTTGGAAAAGAACATCATCAAAAGAGAGTGCAACATCACCTGTTCCGCACAAAAATCTCAGTAGCTATGTATGTGTAAAATCTATCCTTGCTTTCATGTCTGTGGGAGTTAAGGTCAGTGAAACTAGCCAACAGCGGACACCATATGGCTACTCTGCATCATTATATGTCATTATATGTAATAAGAATTTCAGTGAAACACTGGTGCTTTAACACTTTTAAGCCACAGAGTATGCATTCATATCATCATGCAGGAAACAGAGAGCATAACTCGCATACTCTGCTGCTCAGGTGCAAAAATCGAATGTTTAGGACATCTTGTTCCTTCCTATGAGAATGTAGTAAATGTTCTTGTAGTCTTTAGTGTGGGGGAGAGAACAGAGAATAATAATCAGGCTTCTATTCTGTGATTTTTTTTATTTATTTTTTATTTTTTACTTCAAGTACATTCTATACTCTGCATTCTCAGACAGTAAAGTAAAATGTTAATTAGGAAAGATGGTGATTTTCATCAGTTCTCACATTCTGCCTGCATATACACTGCATATATACATATACCGGCATTTTCATGATGCTGCAATTAATTATGTAATGTGTTAATTAACTATAAATGTTCTGCATAAACAGTGTTTCCAACTGAGAGGCACCTTTTCAGGTTTCGAGGGGCACATCCAAAGGTGTTTTTAAAGACGTGTTTCAGTTGAAAAAGAAAAGTTTTGAGAAGAGGTGTCAAACGTAAAGGCCTGGGGGCCAGAAAAAGCCTGGGCAAGATGCCCGCTGGACATCTTTGGAGAACGTGAAAGAGGGCCTACATTTTTAACAATATTTTCATAAATTTTACAGCTTGTTCTGCTGACAAACACTTTCCATTTATACACACCAACAGTAATAAAGTAATAGATAAACAATTAACAAAAAACAATAGACATTGTTTACAGTGTATTCAAATTGAAACAAATAAATAAATAAAATATATAAATATTTACATAAATCATTTGCTTCAATAAATGAACTACCAGAACCTTTTCTCTACACATTGATTTCAGTTGAAGCCCAAAGAGTTGCACAGACAGATTAATTTTATCAACTAAAACAGCATTTCTTTATCATACAGTTGACACTGCACTTCTGTTGACTTCTTTTTCTTATATTGCGATGTCTCAGAGATTAAAGTGCAGTTAAACCTCCGTGCACCGAGAGAAAGGGGAGTTTCCCTTTGATCTTAAGTCCAGCCCACCTAAGATCAAAGTGAGCTGTATGTGGGCCACTGTGCAAAAAGAGTTTGACATCCTTGCGTTAGAAGCAGCTCTTTTAAAAAAAAAAAAATTATTTCTATTTGACTCTGCATCAAAACCGGGTTTAACATGTGGATTTTGCATTAATACATTTTACATTAACATGGAAAATGCATCTCCCAAATATTAAATAATATGTCACTGCCACCTTCCAGTGGTGATTTGCTGCTAGAGCCTAGTGGGCAACACGTGCAATCCCACACATTTTGTGAGTTCCTGCTACGCCATTAACTAACATAAATAAAAACAAACTTAAAGGGGACATATGATGCTAATTTTCAACATATTTTCATTCTTGCACTCTTGGGTTTGATGCTGCCTTTCCGTTTGACCTTTGTCTGCAATGAGCCATTTTAGCTCCTCCCCCCTTTAAGGCCTTACTCTGACTGGCTGCTACTAATAAACAGACAGTTTGGACAAAAGGTGGGTGAGGCTTCTATGGATCGGCAGAGGTAAACATTAGAATCTTTCAGTTAATTATTTAATGCTCACTGACACGCTCTGCAGGGGTGGGGGCGGGGGGTAAGCCACAGAAGGTCATTGCTGAAAAGGCTAGCTGTTTGTGGAGTGCTGTATTGAAACACATTAATGGAACGTTGGTAGGAAAATGTACAAAAGCTACAGGAAAGACCGCAGCCTTGAGAATTGTCAAGAAAAATCTATTCAAGAATTTGGGCAGGCTGATTAAATTTGGAAATCCTAGAGTCTAGAGGAAAAGGCACTGAATCTAAGCTGTTTGAAGTCCAGTGTGACATTTCCAGCCATTGCTGACCATGTTATTACTGTGCTTGTGCATGGCCAGCCAAGTAGCAGGACCTGAACCCTTTCGATTCTCTGTGGGGTATTGTTAAAAGGAAGATGAAAAACACCTGACTCATAAATGTAGACGAGCTGAAGGCTGGTACCTTATCAATTTAACCTGAGGTTCAGTAACACCTCAGAACTGCCACAAATAATTTGTGAAAAAGAAGCCCAAGCGAAGTATTGCCTGTATAAATGCATATACATTTCTGATGTTGGACATTTTGGTCTTATGATCTTAAGGAATTATTCTCATAATTTAAGACATTGTATTTCTGATTTTCTTGAGCTATAAGGTCATATTTTCCATCAAAGTCAACGCCTCACGGCAGTTTTTACTGAAGAAACTTTAATTGTGAGGTCCAGACCTCAGTAACCTCATAACTGGTTTTAACCAGGGGCGACCGTGGCTCAGGGGGTTGGGACGCGCATCCTTAACTGGAAGGTCGCCGGTTGGATCCCTGGGCTCTGTGTCCTGGTCGTTGTGTTCTTGGGCAAGACACTTTACCCTACCGCCTACTGGTGTGAGGCGCAATATGGCAGCCTCACTTCTGTCACTGTGGCTACAACTGTAGCTCGCCTCCACCAGTGTGTGAGAGTGAATGAATAGTGGAATTGTAAAGCGCTTTGGGTGCCTTAAAAACTGCTATAGAAATCCAATCCATTATTATTGTTCAATAAGTCCTTAACAGAATGCATTAAGAAGAAGGCCAAAAAAATAAAGGAGAATCACTCCATTCACTAAGAAAAACATCCTGTACTACTGGAAGTAGAGCACAAATAGAAAAGACAAAAGGGACAACATTGATTTACTTAAGGAGGATTGAAAAAAATTATGGGATATGTCAGTAGTGTAAGAGTTATGAACCATAGCGTTGAAGCCAAATGATTCATTCATGCTACCTGAAGTCCACTGGAGTGCAAGATAAGAAGTCTAAAAATGTAAAACTCAGGGTCTTAGACCCTCAGTCATGACATGGGGAGGCTATTATTGGTTTTTCTTTTTTTTTTTCTTTTTTTTCTTTTTTTCCTGCCTGTCCCGTTTGGCTCTTTTGCCATCAGAATTATTGTCTAAAGGCAAAGAAAGATGCCCAACGGATTTACTTTACCAAATTGACCATCCCAGCCTTGCCGTAATGGTCCATTTGATTCACCTTTTATTGTTTATTTTATTTTCACTTACTGAATACGGGACAGACTTGACTGGGGGAAAGAAGGGGAGAAAGAAAGAGGGAAAGAGAAACAGCTGAGAAGAGGGACGGGGGAGAAGGGCAAAAAACAAAAACCAACAGAATGGGCAGAAAGAAAAAAAATGCATATATCAATCACCTGGATCACCTGCTGAGAAAGAAAAAAGAAAACAAGCAGAAGAGAACAAGAGTAATAGAATAAACAACATCACAATGATATATGGGAATATGACAGTAAATACTAAATATTAAACATTATTGTGCAGCACATAAGATCAACAGAACACAGTGTGCTTTGAGGTAGGAGCCAAAAAGGGTGTAGTTTGTGGGTGTGATCACCCGTGTGTACACCTGTGAGCATGGACGCGCTTGTTTTTTGTTTTTTAAAAGGTTCCTTCATGTAATGATCTGCTAGAGGGTGTGGGGGGGCCACAGCCCCGTCCTCCAGGGCATGAAGCAGGTATGGAGGAGATCAAAACTCCAGACATCCAGAGGCCCCCAGAACACAAGAGACCAAGGAAGACCAACAGAGGGGCAGCCGCGCCACTGTCCCAGAAAGAGCTGAGGAGAGTCCCAGATGAGGGCTCACTCAGCAGCCGCGGAGCAGAAGCCAGGGGGAGTTGCAGTGACGCGCCCGTGAGCTCCGCCGGCAGCCAGCCGTGCCTGAGTGACCGAGCCCCAGGCCGAGAGGCCGGGGGCACCCCACCTCCGAAGTGGCCCGAGCGAGCCCCAGGCTCCAGGCCCCGATAAGCGGCCGCCAAGGAGTGAGCCGGTGTGTACCTGGACGCCCATCCCCGGACACAAAGAACCACCAACGCACCGATGTCTGAGGGAGTCCGCCACTGGCAGGGGAAGTGGTGGTAGGGGGAGATAGGCCTCCAAACCTTGGAGGGCCTAAGATGTCCCCAGAGAGGTGGCGCCTGACACCCAACCTGACATATAGACACAGACATACAGGCACACACAGATACAAACATCCATTCCCACCCTCATGCTCTCATATGCACTTACTCCACACTCAACCAACGTGGAGACAGACATAAAGAGACGCTGTACACACGATCACACTCCCCAAGCGTACTCTACGAACCGGGTCTAGGTACCCTTGCCCCTGGAGGGGGGAACTGCACCCAGACCCAGGTGGTGTTACCCTTTTCCCTGCGGTGGGGAGAGGCAGACCGCCCCGACTCCGCAGCAGCAGGGAGGCCCCACACTCCAGACCGCAGTCGGACGGCCAACTCCTCCTCCTAGCCCCCCCGCTCCAGCAGGCCGCAGAGAATGGGGGTGAGAGAAGACTCCAAACCTCCCTCCACCCGCTCATTGTAGTGTTGATGCATGTGTGTTCTAAGGTGCATTTAAAACCCAGGAGGGCATGGAGCTACCTGCCAGAGAGCAGCAGGTAAGCGCATAGTCCCTCCTGCTAGCCCTCAATGTCTACGTGTATTTAAAATTGAGAGGTGGGCAACGACGCCAGGGGTGAGGTGTACACCCTGATGGTAATTTGGATTCCGTGTATCGTGCCCACCCCCAAGATCCTATATGTATGTGTAATGAGAGTGTGAGTAATGTGAATGTCTAAGTTGTGGGATAAAATTGAGGCAGAGGCAGCCAGAAGGGGACAGGGGGGGTAGCCTCCTCTGCACCCTGGTGACATACCCCTACTCCAAGGCCCTGCATGTGTGGGTGGTTGTGGTGGAGCGGGAAGAGGGAGGCAGCTGGAGATGGGGAGGGAAGGAAGGGAGGGGCAAGTGACCCCTCCCTGGGGCCAGCTCCCCCGCTGACCCCAGTAGGCACCCCCATACTCCGCGACCCGCCAGGGAAAGGGGGCCCAGGCCCATCCAGACCGGGGCCCAGTGCAGCAGCGCCTCCCGGCCCCACAGAGCCCGGGACAGTCCACCCAACCCCACCACAGAGAAAACTGCACCCACCCCACCATCCACTCATCTTCCAGACTACATAAGACAATAAACGCCCAGGCTGAGATCTTCCTCCACCTCTCCTGTATCTCCCCCTCCTGCAGAGAGAGCTCCTGAAGAGAGGAAAGCTCCTGCAAGATGTGACAACCTCCCTCACCAGTTGAAGAGCCCCTCAGGTGGCTCGACACATCGGCGGCACCCTGCGCCAGGGCTGGGCCCCCATGCACCCACCTGCCCACAACCCCGGCAACACACCAACCAGGACCCAAGCCCCCGAGGCCCAGGGCCCCAGCCCAGAGACGGAGCGCCCCCAGAACCTCACGCCCATCCCGGACCCACCCAGGGGCAGCCAGGCTACCAGGTCAGTAACCCACGTCCGTCAGCACAGACCCTCCCCTAGCCCCGCTGCACGCAGCCGCGAGGAAACAGTCACCTGAGAGCCAACAGAGCCCCTAACCGGACATGACCGCTACCCCGGGTTGAGCCCCCCAAGGAAGATGCCTCCGGGGAACCCCCCGACGCCCTAAGCCTGTCCCTACCCCACACCAATCACAACAGTGAAGGCGGGACCAAACTATGACCCCCCACCCCCACTAGGTGATGAAGCTGATCAAAGGAGCCCAGAGCAATTGATCTGATGTGGTGGCAGAGGCTGTATCAAGACTAATGTAATCTAATAGATAATTTCTATATTGGTTAGAATTAAGATTATTTTTATTTTTCCAGTTCATGAGGACAGTTTTCTTGGCTATGCATAGGGCAGTGAAAACCATATGGGCTATATTCTTTCTGAAGTGACATTATCTAAGCTGCCCAACAAACACTATTCTATTCAGGTATGTTTCTATGGCATTGGCAATTGTTTGGGAACATTGTCACACTGAAAAACAAGCCATTAGCAGTTAGATGCTCTCCAGATATTTTGATGCATGCTTAATCATCCAGGTAAGTAAATCCCAAACAACTGCCGAGGCTAATATCGGTTTTTCTATTCAGGTATGTTTCTATGGCTTTGGCAGTTGTTTGGGACCATTGTCACACTGAAAAACAAACCATTAGCAGTTAGATGCTCTCCAGATATTTTGATGCATGCTCAATCATCCAGGTAGTAACGTAACGTTTTCAATGGGAGAAACATCCAAGTGACTTCTTCAGTCTCAGCTGACTGCAGGTTTCCCCAATCTTATAAACAGTCCAAACTGTACTGTTGAAAACATTACATTCAGATGAACAGAATCAACCATATGCTTTCCAGATAGTTTTGTATTGTGGATTTATATCTAACAATTCCTTTCTGCATTCATAATTACATACATTTTTAAAACAATTTGCAAATATTCAAAACTGCCAAATTCTGAACCCACAGTTTGACACTTAACAAAACCGTAGCATACGTAGCATCAGTGCCTAATAATGATCTGCTGCCAGGTTAGTATGAGAACTGAATGAGCTGAAAATGAAGCTGAGGAGTCTGCAGTGGTCCAAACTCAAATTTCTGACCTACATGAGACTCCATCCAGGTGCTTAAAGCGAAACGCCTGTATCCATATTTGTGCGAAAGTAAAATAGCAGGTGTTCAAAATGCGATGAAAAGAAGCAGGGATGATTGTGAAGGTGTACTTAAAATGATTACTTATTTTTCTTAACTCTCTATCAATAATGCACAATTGGAACAAAGAAGAAAATATAAAAAAGAACAGACAGTGCTCAATTTCAAGCAGTGACTCTTGATAAGGTGTACACATACCAGACAAGCAGACATTTCCCCATCACATTAGCCTCCATATTGATCTCTTAAAGAAATTAATGATTTGTACTTTGTTGTAGGGGAGCTCCTAGTAAATGATCCTTGTCCTCCTCTACATCTCAGCTTACTCAGTGTGCCAAGCGACATTAGTTTAGGAGTTTGCATTTTGTTTAACTTTCCTCACATATGAGCACAATGGCAAAATTTGTAACCAGGACTGGCCAACAAAATAAGTAGTCTGGTAGTTTGTGTGAACTGGGTAACCATGGATGAGCCAAAATTGACAGCCTGATGTTGTTCATCCTGTACATTTCTTGCCATCAGCAATATTGTTACCTCTCTGAGCTACAGTAACCAGGAAGTGTTTTTCTGGTGTGTCTTTGTTCTGTGTCTTCTAGTCTCGGAGCCCTCATGGGTCTCTCAATAGCAGCTGTGGTTCTTCTCGCCTTCATCATCACTCTGTGTGTTCTCTGCTATCTGTTCATCACCACCAAACCCAGAGGTCTGGACAATGGACTGCCGCTGCGAGCACCAGGTACAGAGTTAAACTTTCTGCTAACATATCAATAAAATACACAGAGTTAAGTAGAACTGGGCCAAAGGTTCTGAAATACGTCAATTGGTATCTTCTCTATTTATTATTAAAATAATGCAAATTTCTTGCCTTGCCTTGGTTTATGGCCAGTCTTTTTGTTTTATTACAGACATTATTAATGTACTTGATGAGCAAGAAAAAATCCCAAAAGACTTCTGATGAATATATTCATAAGCACAAAAGTTATTACTACACAACCAATGAGAGATGCTTTGCTTTGGATCGTTTCTTGATCTGGAAACAAAACATTTTGCTTTTTTTCTTAATTACTGAAGCATTAAACTGTAGAATGCATCAGCCACAGAGTGTGGGTGGATGTTACAGTTGAATTTTCAAAAGTTTTATCTCAAATTTGTGACCTTTACAGTGTGCTACTCCAAAGAAGTATTTTGAATGAAAAACCAAGAACACGGCATTTAGGAATGCTAAAAGAACCTGATATGATTTCCTTTCAAAAAAAAACCTGGAAAACCTTCTTTGACAAGACAGCCGAACTTTGTTGCTGAGTGGAGAGGCAGCCTTGTACTAGATAAAAAATGTTTGCAGAAAATTACATTTGGTGGAGCTGTGTTTGAAATGTTTTAGAGCAGGTGTTTTGTAACCGCTATCTCCAATTCAGTTTTGATTTGGCTCAAGTTTGTGTTTGGGCAATTAGAAGTTTTCTGTCTGGATTTCTTTCCAAATGATTTTAAGTGTCAGTAAAATGGTTTCCATGTTGTGCCTCACAATTGTGGAGCTGTGACTGGACGACTCTGGGAGGGTTTGGGTGGATATTTTGAAAGATAAGTTAGAGCTTATTTTTTTCATTCATGTGGGCTGTTTGAGAAATGGCCACAGTATAATTTTTAAGTCTTTTAAGTCTCACTGTGCACATTGTTTTGATTTTATGACTCACAGCTTTACCACGGTCACTCTCACTCCTGTCTTCAGCAATTGTTTTTGGAGAGCTTGAGCTGTCCTTAAGAGAGGTTCTGGTAAATCCATTTTTGTTATGCATGCAGGACCAGAAAACAGACAGTTAATTAATAATGACCTACATGTTCATCCCACTATTTATTAGACATAAAAACAAACTGAAAATAGAGTGAATAACAGACTTTATCGCCAAGACAGAAGTTAAGTTAAGTCATTTTTTTCTTCTGTTCACATGCTTTATTAGACTTGCATGTTTTTGTGATGACTCCAGCTCATGTAGCTGGTGTTGTTATTGTAAATGTATTTGTTCAGCTTCAAGCCTTCCCTTCATATTCAGGAAATATGCAAAAAATCTTCTGACCAAACAATATATTGAAAAAACTTGGCATCATTCTGCTTCCAAGTTTGGAGAGATGTTAATCAGTGTCTGCTGTGAATTAAAATATGCTGCTTAAACCAGATATCCATAATCACACGAATCACACTCCTCCATGCTTCAGGGTGGAAAATACACATGCAGGTATCAGGTTTTCACTAATCTAATATCTCTTTCCTGTCTTCCTTGGTCTTAGCACTTCTTTTCTACTTCTTGATAGTTTTGCATCTGTGCTTTTAGTTTCCTGAAATTTTCCAGATTAACTCATGTGCATGTATCTAATGTGCAAGCATGGACTGTTTTTGTTTAAAATATGTCACACTTTTTCTTAAAAACTTTGTTTCCTATGTGTTATTTCATAGTTTTTAAATGTCTTTTGTTTTGTTCTACTCAAAATGAGTTGATATGTTCATCGTTGTTTCAACCCTGTTGTTGATTTGGCAGGTCTAAGATTCTTAGTTTGAACTTTTTGTGTGCATTATAGCAGTCCCTTTGAAGATTTAGATGTGTGCGTGTTCAGATATTAAAGCTACCTGTCTCCAATCATATTTAAGGTCAGAAACTGAATCTGAACAAAGAACAATGGGGATGGAGTTCTGAATTTAAGAAAGAGACATGTTGTCATTCTAACAATTTGCTCCAAACAAAGCTTTAATTCCACAAGCAGACGCGAAGTGCACAAAGTGTGTAACCCCTGTCTCCTGTGCCGTTCGGCTTTGCTCATGCATATAAATTATTAAATATCTTTAATGTTGTTTTCACTCGAGTTGCCTCATTAGATTTCTGCACAGGTCTGAACACACATCTACAACCTGCTCTTTCATTCACCCCGCTGTGGGGTTTGTTGCACCTGTTAGACACTGCTGTCATTATAATTGGTCGATGAAGTTTGGGGACATCGTGTAATTCCAATCTTCCACTTGAATGGAGGTCCAGTCTGCCAGAGTAATTGACAGCACTGGTGTGGGTGTGCAGGGCATTCAAACCGTATATCAGAAACTCTGTCCGTCCACTCACTTTACACAGGTGGCATTGCAGTCAGAAAAAGAAATATTTGCATTTTATAGTGATATCTGTAGAGGCCGTATAACCTAACTCAGTCGGAAAGCTCAATTTAAGGCTTAACGTTTCAAACAAGATTAACATTAAGGGGTGAGATGGGGGATTAAGATGTTCCCAATACTCTCTGGTAATTTATCATTAGCCAAGGTTGAAGTCCACAATTTATTTATTTTTTTAAGTCATGTGAAAACAGATTTCTTTCTTTATTTTCTGTAAATTTGTAACTTGAAGATGTCACACTATGTAAACTCTTTGAATTACTGTGGTTTAGTAACAGTGCAAAGAGATAAATAGTAACTTGTAACACATTTGTAAATGATCAAACTTCTAATTACAAATGCCACTGGGTTATCAAGAAACAGTCCACTGATCACAACTCACATAGTGTTAAAGTTGTCTGGCTGACTCAACAGGTTACTCCTGTGCCTGTGCTGAGCAGGGGAATATCTGAGACAAAATAATGTGCTGTTTATTTGCAGTTTATGCGTCATCAGGTGTTCAGTTAGCCATATTTTTCTGACATAGCTGTGAGAGTGATTGTGGACAGTGAAGTTGTTGCCAGTTTGGCACACTGCGTTAACACACAACGATCTCTACAGCAGCTGGGTAGCGTACTGGAAAGACTATAACTTTTTGAGTGGGAGTCCCAAGTTCGGTTCCCTGGCTAGATTCCCTGGGGGTCTTGGCTAGACCAAGCCCTGAGATTGCGTGGCCACACCTGCAGCCTGTCTGCTTGGACAAGCATTTCACTGCATGTTGTACTGTGGATTGTGTATGTTTAAGTAAAATTTGAAGTTAGGATAACAAACATGTCTTTGGTTGGCTTTTCACATGCTGTGTCACATAAATAGCAAAGAAAACACATGAATTTGCAATATCCAACAAAAAACTCCACTTCTGTGTAAAGTTTGAATGTTCTCCCTCCCATGTCGGGTAATCTGGCATGAATGCTGGGTTAATGGGTGATTCTAAAGACTGGTGATCTGTCCTGGGCATCTTTCTCTTTGTAGGCTCCAGCACCCTCATGACCCTAAATTGGATCACTTAGAAAACTGATGCTTAAATAAAGATTGTCTAAATGATCGTGCATTTTGGTCATTCTTGTTGACAGCCAGTACCCATGCAATATTATGGACCTCATCATGCTGAAAGTGTGATCTTGTGTTAGTTTTTGTTTCCCTGGTGAACAGGTAGTCTCTGATTTCACTTTACAGATATCATCAGCGTTATCATAGTAAATGGTACTAAGTGGAACCACAAGCCTTATCATTTCTTCTCTTGTCCGTGAACTTCTTCTTCCAGGTTCTACATCTAGCCCACAAGCACCAGGGCCCAGTAACAGCAGTGTCCCACCTGGTCCCCAAGGCCTCAGGAAACATTTCCTGAGAGGCAGGCTGGACTGTGACAACCAACCCCCGGACCCTGACCGCCTTTTCCAACGTTGTTTCTTGGCTACGGTTACGTCTGTCAAAGTGGAGGGTCCTGCTTAGCCAGAGTTATTTCTTGGTGTTTCTTGGCCGCCTACCTGTCACCACTCCACTATAGTTTTCTGCATTACAACAATCCAGGCTGAACTGAAGTTTGATCTCCACATAATTACATTTTGTCATGTTTGATTCAACAGAACACAAATGCAAACATTTCTGTTTGAGCCCTGAGACAAATATTTCCTGTTTTAGCAAAAGAACAAACTGAAAAGGTTTCAGCTGATTAAAAATGTAGCCAAAGATGCAAATGGGATTTTGATGGCGTAACCTTTTGCATGTATTACTTTTAGTTTGAAGAGTCACAACTATTATTTGTTGCACTGAAACCCAGAAGTTATTGTTCCACTTAATCAACAGAGACAGCAAAACCTCTGATTGGAAATCATTATTTTGCTGCCTGTCCCAAAAGGCGTTAGCGTCTGCTTGGAGGAATACAACTAAACAGTACAATTACAGGCTGCTACTTTATGGATAGTTGAATATTTGTATGCTGGCAAATCACCAGCAGTGAGTATTCAAAAGAATATATTTACTGAAAAATGTTGATTGCACATTATTTAAAATCCACAGTTTGAAATGGCTTTAGATGGATGAGCTTACTTCTAAAAAATTTCTTTAAATGATAAGTAACCCCAACATGGACCTTGAGGGGAGAAAAAACAAACAAACTCATTGACTCATTCAAATAACGGGGGGTTTGGGGTGGGGTGGGGGCGAGGGGCGCACTGAGTTTGCCCACATGCTGTGTGTTTGATTTATTTGAGCCATTTCTTCTCATTTAACACGGTGGCTCTAAACACAGTAAGCACAGGTGAAGAGACATTCAATAAAGAGAGGGTTGAACTCTGAGTTAAAATGAACCCGAAGCATCTCACTGCTACCGAATCCTATCTGCCTTCCTTTTTTTTTACACATTTTAGACATTTTTTATTTGTAAGTCCTTTTAAGCATGTGACAGGTAACATTACTGGCTTTGTCAATCTCTTAAAATGGTTTTTGTCTTTCACACATGGGTTACTTTTATGCCAATTTCTCTCATGGAACATTGACACATAACACTCATGACCCCGGCTATGAGAGCTAAAGTACATGTGCAATTCTTGCCAAACAGTATGTTCAAAAAACCTGTTGCACTTTTGCCAGTCAGCATTGTGTTTGTTTACTGTAGTGAAGCGTAACCATTACAACCACCACACTTGTCACCCAGCATTGTCACTAAAGAATGGCTGGGTGCGTATATGTTTGTGCAGTGCAGCAGCAATGGCTAGCTGCTCCTGCCACTCCCAATCAGGCCTTCATAAAGGCAGAGCTTTTTCAAAGAAAGAAAAAAATCATTTTTATTGCAAATGAGAAATTCCGTTTTTTGTTTGGCCTTTTTCTCCTTTTTTGTTCAATGATAGTGGACCAAGTTTATTTAAAAATAGGACAAATCTAAGTGATAGGAAGTCCTAAATAAATGATAAAATAATGGCGAAAAGAAAAAGAACCAAAGCCAGATGACAATGACTGAAGGAAACACACAGACTAAATGCACAAAAAGGAAAGTGACAATAAGACACAGGTGAAGTGAATCAAGACAGCTGAAAGAGACGCAAATAATTTGCACAAAGAACAGACAAAGAGAACTGCAGGACAGCAAAGCGAGGAAAAAATAAGATGTTGTAACAAAAACCAACAACCATGACAGATTAACATTTGTCATTTTAAAGGAAATGTCTACAAAACTCCAAGATCGATCACCAGTATCAGGTCAAATGTTCACTCTGGGGGCTACATTGGTTTGTTTTGTATGCATATATTTAGTGCTATTTAACAAGCCAAACTAAAACAGTTGGTGATCATTATTCTTTCTTAGCAACTACACCTTAGCGTTGTCATTGTGAGCATGTTACAGTAGTATTAGCACCTGTCTCACAACAATGCTGTGCCTTAAATTCGGGCTCACAGAGCTGTTAGCATGGCTGCAGTCTCTTACTTTGTGTTGTACAAGAAACTATAGCCATCCATGCAGACCTGAAGTACTGGAGTATAAAGTAGGCACCATGCATGTGGTTGATACTGGCACTCCAGCTCGAATGGCAGCAGTTTGTCTCTGGCAGCTGCCACTGCAGAGAAGAGCAAGGGTGTGTTACAACTGCATTTAAAGCAGTCCAACTGTACATTGTGCTTTGTTCAGCAACCACCAAATGAAAAGAAAGCTACAGATTTTGCTTTGTTTTTATGTGCCTTTTTTGTTTGCTGTTTTTATTTGTTTTCAATCCAAAACATTTGAATTGTGTGATTTGACTTTGTAATTTCAGTGTTTTTGAGTCAGCTGTAGGAATGAAAACTAGGTCTGGCCACACTTTAATCCATCAGTGTTGTTGTGCTTTGCTGAGTGTGAAAAGAATCTGGAGGAATTTCAAACCCACTTGTATATGTCCCGTTCACATTATGGAACAGTTTGTGTTTACTTTGCAAAGAAAGAAAGAAAGAAAGAAAGAAAGAAAGAAAGAAAGAAAGAAAGAAAGAAAGAAAGAAAGAAAGAAAGAAAGAAAGAAAGAAAGAAAGA